AATCCCCGTGTCCGCCTAGTTCCCCCTAGTTCGGCCCCGTTCTCTGGGTCCCCAATGCCGGCTCCCCGATCCCCGGCGAGAGGCTCCCCGGGCCCCCGCGGCCTCCCGCCCAGCCCGGGCCCCGCGCCCGGCGTACCTGGCACTCGCTCCCCGACAGCCGCGCCCAGCAGCGCCAGCCCGAGCCCTAGCACGAGGAGCCGCGGCAGCGGACGCAGTGGACCGGGAACCATTGTGCGCGTCCCGCGGCCGTGGCCGTCTGAGCCTGCCGCGCGCGGGCCGGGGCGGACAGCGGCGGCCCCGCCTCCGCCCCCGCCTTCCGGGGCGGCTCCCTCGGCTCGGCCCGCCCCGCCACCGGCTCTTGAACGCCCCGCCCCGCCTGGCCCGCTAAGTTCAGTCATTCGCTCAACAAGCACAAACTCGGTGCGCCAGCGGCTGGGACCCCGCAGGGACGCAGACCTGGCCCTGTCCTGTGGATGCTGAAGTCCGGGAAGTTGGGGGTGGGAATCAGACACGAACAACCCATCTCAAAGATAACTGCAGCTGCAGCTTTCCGAAGGGAAAAAGAAGGAGGGGAAATCGGAGGGAGAGATGAACCATGAGAGACTATGGACTCTGAGAAACAAACTGAGGGTTTTAGAGGGGAGGGGGGGTGGGGGGATGGGCTAGCCCGGTGATGGGTATTAAGGAGGGCACGTACTGCATGGAGCACTGGGTGTTATACGAAAACAACGAATCGTGGATCACTACATCAAAAACGAATGATGTATGGTGACTAACATAATAAAATAAAATGTAAAAAAAAAATAACTGCAGTTTTCTTAAGGGCCCCGGGATATAATGATAACGACATAACAAATAATAATAATAAGTCTTTAATTTCTTCCTTAGGACATAGCTACACAGTAAAATGTGGGCTTGTTGTCTCCGATTGTTCCGAGTATGAAACTGAAGGTTGGGAAGGTTAGGTGAGTTCCCAGGGTCACAGCACTAGTAAGTAGCGGAGTCAGGAGTCAAGCTCTGGCCCAATGCCCTGTGCCCTGACCCACTGAGGGCCAGCGTTAGCCAGCTGAGGTCCCAGCGCCCGGGCCACATGCGGGAGCAGCGGCCCCAGGCTCGAGCGACCCCAGCTGACGAGGTTGGGATTTGCGCGCCCGCGGCCTGGAATGGGGTCTCTGCCCCTCCCCGGGGCGGTGGTCCAGTGACGTCACAGCCTATTTAAGACCCCCGCCTCCGCCCCTGTCCGCACACTCTGCGGTTCCTACGAAGCCCTGTGGTCTTCTTCGCAGGTGAGCCTGGGGGAAATGCCAGTGTTGGAGGGGAAGAGGCGGACTCCACGAGGAGTGGGGTGCAGGGGGCGTGGCGGCGTGGGTGGGGGTGCGTCTAGAGAACTTGGACTCACCTGGGTGGGGGGGGCCACCGGGGCACAGCCCCTGGGCGGGGGTCTGCACCGAAGCCGCGGAGAGCTGATCAGGTCCTTCTGCAGCCGCGGAAGGGTCAAACGCCCCTCCCCCTCCCCCGGGACAAAGGCACCGAAACCCGGGCGCCCTTCCCCCACCTGCGCTGCTCTCTGGGGCGGGGCTCCCCTCCCCCTAATCTACCGGAGCGGACCCTGCTGATACCGCCGCCATTAAGCCCTTCCCGCAGCGCGGCTCACAGGCCGGGGGCCTGCGGACCCTTCTTCGGGCCGGACTCAGAAGGGAACTAGGGATCGAAAGCAGGAGGGGGCGCCCTCGGACCAAGCCGGCCCCGTGGTGTGCGGAAAGAGAAGTGGTCGAGGGCAGGGGTAGGGTCTTGGAGCGGAGAGGTGCCGGGTGCCTGGGCCGGCGCTAACACGACTAGAGGCGTGGAGGGCCGACACCGGCGTTGGGATGAGCGCGGGCTGGGCGGTCCGGTCCGATCTCCCCTGAGGTCTTTAGCGCCGCCAGGTATGGGCGGGATGCAAATGAGGAGTGCACGGTCTGTCCTCTGGCCACGCTACTGGGGCTGGTGCTAAATTCAGGTCCAGATCGTGTGCGGGAACTTTGGGTAATGGAGAGCACCAACAGGACCCCGAACAGAACTGACCCCCGAAGCGAGCCACAACACTAAGTGGGATGTGAAGGGAGACAAGTGAGGGGCCGGAGCTGCTGTTGAGGGGCCGGTTCACTGGACACACTCCAAGGGTTTAGGTCCTTTTAGGGGAATTGAGTCCTGAGAGGTTGGCATTTTGAGCAAGAAGGCACAAGAAAATGTCCCCAACCTTGGAGGTATGTTCAGTGTGACCCTAAGGGAGGGCAGAAGAGCAGGACCCAGTGGGGCAGCAGGTAGCCATGAAGAAGAAGTGCTTTTGGGTGAGAAGGTGGTATTTTTTTTTTTCTTCTTCATTTCTCCTGCCCTCTGGAGTTTGACTGCTGCTGGGCTGGGCCAAGTAGGGCCAGGCAAGGCCACAGATGAAGGACCACCTGAGATACAAATGTCATTACCCTCCTGGGGGTATGGAACCAGGTTGGGGTGAGGGGTTTGGACACTGCTATTGGGTGGTGGGAGGAAGCTTGGATCTCTAATCTTGATGTTGAAACTGACAGGTTTTGAGCTTGAAACTCATGGCTAGAGCCAACCCACCATCTGTGTGCCCCAAGGAGGCCATCTGGAAATTGCCGTCTGGTTTTGTTTTGTTTGTTTTTGCTACTTTGCTGTCTGATAAAATGTATGCAAAGTAGCTGGGGCGGTAGACTAGCATCAGTATAGGCTTTATGTCTCATTTGCACTCAGCAGCCAGGACTGGGTCGCTTACTTACTCGCTCTTGTTAAGTCAAGACAATCACATAATCAAGGAAAAAATTACATGCTCAGACATCAAGTGTTCGTTTTGCCCATGACAAAATGAGGCTTGGGAGGAGTTCCCTGTCCATGGTGTACTGACTCCCTGGGTTCATACTCTCGCTGCCCTGTGTGGTGGCTAGAGCTCATTGGGAACAAAGGGTCTGGACCAGCCTGTCTTCACATTAGTCTGCTTCTGTCCCCCAGTGCAGCTCCTCTCAACTTCAACTTTGCCATGGCTTCCGCTGGTCTGCAAATCCTGGGGATCATCCTGACACTGCTTGGCTGGGTGAATGCTCTGGTGTCCTGTGCCCTGCCCCTGTGGAAAGTGACCGCCTTCATCGGCAACAGCATCGTGGTGGCCCAGGTGGTGTGGGAGGGGCTGTGGATGTCCTGCGTGGTGCAGAGCACAGGCCAGATGCAGTGCAAGGTGTACGACTCCCTGCTGGCGCTGCCCCAGGACCTGCAGGCCGCCCGCGCCCTCTGCGTCGTCGCCCTCCTCATGGCCCTGCTCGGGCTGCTGGTCTACCTCGCGGGAGCCAAGTGCACCACCTGCGTGGAGGACAAGGACTCCAAAGCCCGTCTGGTGCTAGTCTCTGGGATCATCTTTGTCATCTCAGGGGTCCTGATCCTCATCCCCATCTGCTGGACGGCTCACGCCATCATCCGGGACTTCTACAACCCCCTGGTGTCGGACGCCCAAAAGCGGGAGCTGGGGGCCTCCCTCTACTTGGGCTGGGCGGCCTCTGGTCTTTTGTTGCTGGGCGGGGGGCTGCTGTGCTGTACCTGCCCCTCTGGGGGGTCCCGGGGCTCGAACCATTATATGGCCCGATACTCAGCATCAGCCGCACATGCCACCTCTCAGGGGGCCCCTGAGTACCCCACTAAGAATTATGTCTAAATCTGTTAGGGGAGTGGAGACTCCCTCGACAGTGGAGCCTAGCCCCCTGAGCTGGAGACATGGAGATGGTAATCCAGACAGCTTGGGGGCTGTTTTTATCTTTTTTGCTTTTTGGAGGAGGGAAATTTTTAAAGTTCATTTGAAAACCTAACCAAGGAACCCAAGTCTCTCCTGGGCTCTGCTGTCGGTATTTCTCACCTCTGGATGATGGAGCCAAGGAGGTGATACTTCACAGATTCTAGATCTTTCTCCACCCTGGACATCCCCATCTGGGAGGCCAACCCGGAGCTGTGAGCCAACATAAGGCTGCCTGCTGTTGAGGTGCTTTCAGCCTGTCCCTGAGTCCCTCCTTACCGGTCAGGCCTCTGGAACCCCTGCGGGCTCTTGAGCCTCAGGGATGATAAATCACCAAAGAACTGCCCGCCTCCAAGTCTTCTGACCTCTGGCTCCTCCATCTTGAGTCCCGAGTCCTGTCCTGGCTGTGCTGTAGACCCCCCCCACCCCGATCCTCTCGCCTTCAACCCCTGCACACTTCTGCCACACCTCCCCCCATACACACTCACCAGTTTTTCCTAAATAAACCATGTCTTATTTTGTTGCTTGCCTTGGGTGTTGCTGGGGGTCTGCTGGGGGCCAGCCTGGCAGGGGGAGGAGGGGAGCACCAAGGGGCTCACCTTCCTTATCCTTGTGCCTCACATGGCAAGTGAGGGTCCACACTGGACAGGTCTTGGAGCAGGCCTGGGACTGACAGCCCCAGGGAAGGCCGCCTGGTCTTCCCTGCCCAACCACAGATCAGAAGAGCCAAGGTACAAATTCTGTTTATTCCCAGCTAGCAGGTGGGCATAGAAGGTTGGGTGACAGACTGTGCCTCCTGGCCTGGACCTCTGGATGCAGGTGGTGGCCAAGCTGGAGAGGACCCACTGCAGGCAGGGGTCCCCTCCTTATTTTGGAGCCAAGGACCTGCTGCCTTTTGGGTGAAGCCCGGCCTCCTGGGACAGGAGTGGCCTCAGGAAGAAGACGGCCAGACTAAGTTGTGGACCGCAGAAGGAAGCAATTGTCCGGGAGAGGCAGGGGCAGGCCAGCACACCCATCAGCTCTGGCTCGGCCTGGGTGGAGGTAGCAGAAGGGCTCGCGGGGACCCCACTGAAGAGGTTCTGGACTCAGCCAGGCCCAATTGAAGCGTCTGGAAAATGGGTTTTGCCCCAGGGCAGGGGTTAGCAGTCGGTGGCAAGGGTCAGAGCAGGGCATCCTGCACAAGGTGAAGGCTCTGAGCAGCAGACTTCCAGGGACACTTTCCACCTCATACGTAGTCCCTCTTGTCCAGCCCAGATGCACCTGAGCGGGAGGGGATGGAGTAACCCAGCCTCGGTCCTCGGGGCCGGTCGATCTGGGGTGGAGGGCACGTGCAGCAGAGGAGGCCCCCCCCCAGCATGAGCAGGGCAGCAGCGGCCCAGCCCAGGTAGAGGGAGGCCCCCAGCTCCCGCTTGAGGGCCTCGGCCACCAGGGGGTTGTAGAAGTCCTGGATGATCGCATGCGCAGTCCAGCAGACCGGGATGAGCACCAGGATCCCCGAGAGGAGGAGGAGGACCCCTGCAGTGAGCATGATGCGGGCCTTGGCACCTTCATCCTCCACGCATGTGGTGCACTGGGCCCCAGTGATGGCCACCAGCAGCCCGAGCAGGGCCATGAGGAGGGCGACGACGCAGAGGGCGCGGGCGGCCTGCAGGTCCTGGGGCAGCGCCAGCAGGGAGTCGTACACCTTGCACTGCATCTGGCCTGTGCTCTGCACCACGCAGGACATCCACAGCCCCTCCCACACCACCTGGGCCACCACGATGCTGTTGCCGATGAAGGCGGTCACCTTCCACAGGGGCAGGGCACAGGACACCAGGGTGCCCAGCCAGCCCAGCACGGCCAGGGTCATGCCCAGGAGTTCAAGGCCAGTTGAAGCCATCTGTCCCCTCAGGTCTTCTTAACCCTAGACGGCCTGGTTGACTCACAGGGGTGGGTCCGATGCCGCTGGGTGGGGGTCTCGGTGCCCAGCACGAGGGAAAGACCGTGTCCTTGGCCAGGACTGTCCTCACATCTGTGGGCCTCTTGCAAAGCACCTCTCTTTGCGCCCCTCAAAGGTCTATCTCTGACCCCGACACGCACCAATCAATCTCACAGTCCTGCTCAGCAGAGTAGCAGTGTCCTCTCGAGGGTCCCGTTGGCTGCCAGACGCCCAGTGGCTGCCTCTCCTGCCACCCTGCAGTCACGTCCCGGCTGCCGCCCCTGTGGCCCAGCTTGCAAAGCCCCTCCTGGCCCACCTTCAGCTGAGAAGAGCCTTGTGCCGCCAGAGGCTCAGGCTCACACGGAGCAGCGCACCCTCTGTGGGTGTCACCCAGGGACTCGGCCGGCTCCCAGATACAGGCGGGGTTTTGAGGTGGAGGCGGGGGAGGGGCAGCAAAGCCGATGGGGAAGCGGAGCTACAGGGAGAAGGCGGGGCTGGGGGTGGGATGGGGAGCCTGGGAGGGGGTACCGCGACCGGATCGGGGAAGGAAAGAACCTCTGTGCCTGTGGAAATGCAGGGACAAAGGAAAGGGGAGACTGAGGACCAGCTGGGGAGCGGGGAATGGGGGCGTGATAGAGCTCTGGTAGGCTCGGCAAACGGAGGTTAAGCTGCCTCCCTGAGCCGCCGCCTCCTCCCCCAGCAACTCCTCCCTGTAAAAGCTTTTCCTTTCGCGTTGCAAACACACCCAGATCCCCCGGTATCGCACACCCCAACCCCGCTCATGTCCCCCTGCCCGCCCCAGGAACCCGATCTGTCTCCAGTCCCAGCCCAGTGGCCCTGGCTGCTCTCAAGGGAGGGGCCCCGCCTGCACCGTTCCCCAGGCAACAGGTGCCTGGCGCCCAGCTCAGGTGGCATCACCCAGGCAACGGCCTAAAAAGTTCCCCCCACACACACTTCTTCCTCCGCTCAGGTGTGCCCTTCCCAGCCCTGATACTGAAACTGAGGGCCGAGCTGAGCTGCCTCAGGTCTCTAGGGGCCAAGGGATAAAGAAAGAGTCTGTTGTGGAAGTAGGGGAGGGGCACACAGGGGCCTGTGGGCGAAGGGGGAAGGGTAGCAGAGACAGAAGCCCTGGATGGGGGTGAAGCGTCAGGACCCAAGTCTTTTCCATGAGGAGTAAGTGGTCACTCTGGAGGAGACCCCACGGAGGAGGGCAAGGGGGTGAAGCCCAGGTGAACCCTTCCTCACCGTCCTCAGGAACGGTGACTCCTCTTGTGGGGGACAACCTGGGACTCACACACTATAATCCAAATCCTGCCACCAACTAGGGACAGATCATGGGAGGTCAAGGTCCTTAACCTCCTCAGGTCAAAGCCCCTGTGAGAAACCTTATGGGACCCACAAACGTGGGCCCCTCATCCTGGGGGTCAAGAACTCCCTCAAGCCCCTTCCTGGGTGCTAGGAACTGAGGGAAAAGGAACGGGGGTGGGGGATGCTGATGAAAATTCCTTCCTTTCATACACTTTCCTGGGTGGCTGGCGAACCCTCTAAGGCAGAGCTGGGCCCCCATCTGGAAGAGCCTCTCACTTCCACACCTCTTCCTGAGGATGGCCCACGGCCTGTCTGCCCTATGAGGAGGCACTCCTTGATGGCCTGGGAGCTAACAGGGCCACTGGGGGCAGGCCTCGGAGCTGCCACCGCCCCCTCCCCTGCACACATGGTCACTCACTGCACCTCTCAAGGCCCTGGGAGTGGTGTGCACTGGGCGCCTCTTTGCCCGTTCAGTGGGGCTTAGTCTATAAGGGATTTTAACTTCAGATGGGTGCACTGCTTCTGGGAATGGGTTTTAGCACTTCTGGGAAGAGAGGTTTATACTTTCCACAAATTTGCAAAAGGGTCAGTGACCAAAAAAAGCTTGAGAGAACTGCTAAAATGGATACTGACGCCAGCACCCATGAGTGGGGCTGTAGGGTAGATTGCAGTGGCCTGGTGGACATGGCGGGGAGTGGGAAGGGGCCAGAGCCGGCCGCGGCTGGGCCAGCTGGCTGTGATGGGCCTGGGGAATCTAGGGGAAGTTTGTCCAGCTCATCCAGCCCCTGGGGCCCTAGATTTCATGGTCGGGAGGGGCGGCTGAGGAGAAGGGCAAATAGAGGCAAACCTCGGGGCCTGGAGGAATCCGGACACACAGGTTGAAGCAGTTGTCAGGAGGCAGCAGGGAGCCGGGGTCTGGGGCTCTGCGAGGGGCCCAGCAACCCTCCCACGGGGCCTCCCATCCTGGGCAGCCCAGCCCAGGGTCTTTTCTCTCTCTAGGCTCAGAGAAAGCCCTGGGCTTAATGAGACCAACTCATCCTGATTTGCCCAGAGAGCTGGTCAGCCTGCAGTCGGGCCTGGCACCAAGGACCCCTCAGTTCCACAGACAGGTCCAAACCCCCAGCGTTGTGACAGGACCAGTGGGGCGCCGCAGAGACCCTCACTGTTTTAGATCCCAATCCCTCTTGGGCTCAACATGTCAACACTCAAGCAGAGAAGACCTGCACACTGCCAGGGGTGGGCCGGCCACGTGGGAGGTTGTGCTCAGAGGCTGAAGACACCGCCCTTTCACCCCCAGACCAATCCGTACCAGAACTGTCTTGGTGGGGGCAGCTTGGGCTTCCTCCCACCTGTCTACTCTTTTCCCTCTTTATAAGACAAGGCACCCCCCACCCAAGGCCTTCAGGGAGGGTGAAAGTGGGGCAGGCCGTGCGAGAACAAGGAGAGGTCGAGAGGTCGCCAGGGCTGGTCAGAGGAACTGCCAGTAGGAGGGGTAAGCAGCGAGGGTGGATTCCCCGGGCAACCAGGCAGGACAGCCTTCCCACGCTCAGCCCTCCTTAGGCCCTCTCTTGGGTCCCCTGGTCCACCTGGACTCAGTGGGATCTGGGAACCAAAGGGTTAAAGGTGGGGCCCAGCGGGGACCATAAATGGGGCTGGAATGCCATTGATATGGAGAGGTGGGGACTCCCTCGGCGTGGTTACCACCTCAATGGCACTTTAACACGTCCGCTGGAATCCCCACCCCCACTGCCTCCGTCCAGGAAAGAGGTGGGGGAGGGAAACCTGCCCCAAGACACTACTGTGGAGGGAAACTGAGGCATGGGGGAAGGGAGGGCAGCCTCGCCCCGCTCACTGCTTCAGGGGGTGGCAGAACTGGACCTGAACTTTGTTCTCTGGGGGGGCAGTGGGGTGGGGCCACTCCGCCAGGACTGGGCTTAGACGGGGGAAGGGCAGAAGAGGGCTAACTCCAATCCCAACATCTACCACACTTTTCAAGAAAGGTATGGCCCAAAGACAAAGGAGGGGAACTGAAGGTCTGAGAGCCACCATGGTGCCAAGAAGAGTATGGGGTGGGCTTGGGGATGACACAACCCCAAGGGAGCATCAGCCTCTGCTTTGGGGAGGTGCCCAAGGCCCCAGACTTTATGGGTAGAGAAGCCAGATCCCCTGGCCCCTGAAACAAAAGGTGCAGATGAAACCCTGGGGTCCCATGATAGCTCTCTACCCCCATTTTACAGACAAGGAAACAAGCTCCAAGAGCAATGGGAACTTGGCCACAGGTCTTTGGGAGAAACAGGATAAGCCTGAAGGAGCCCCGGACCCTGACTTCAAGGCCCAGCACCCAGAGCCCAGTGCTGGAGGGTGAGCTGGGGCTCCTGGTGCCTCTTTCCCCAGAGGCAGCCCGGGAGCCCCCCACAGGCCACCCTACCCACATCTTGCCCTATTCCTCCCCACCCCCGACCCCACCTGCATTCCCTCCTTCCCCTGACTCCTCCAGGCGCCCTGCACCCTGTGCCCACTCTGCACCCTGTGCTGGGAAGCCTCTGCAGGGAACTGCATCTGGATCTGATTACACCAGGAGCCACCCCACCTCTGCTGCACCTTCCCTGTGTCTGTGTCCACCTGCTGTGGGCAGCCTAAGGGACGCTGCGTCAGACCTCGCTGGGCAGGTCACGAGCACAGTAACCTCAGCTGCCTCCTGGAGGGAGAAGTCTGCCTTGTTTACCTCCAGGGTCACTACAAGAATTTGCCCAGGCGGGGAGCACCCCACGCACCTTGGGGATCACCGTAGGGACTGACTTGGCACGAGAATATCTTGTTAACAGCACCATGGCCGTTTCACTCACAAACCTAGTCAGACTCTGTGGATCTGAGAGCAGTTAACTTTATTATCTGTCAGAACTGTCAGCTTTCACCTGGCCGCAGTTATTCATCTGGGGTTCAGAGGGTGGGGTCGCCCCTCACCTCACTGCTGTGATCTTTAAGTAAGAGCATGCGTCCAGTCTTGTCCTTCCTGTCGGGTCTGATTCTTAGCGGAGAGGAGTGAGGAGAGGAGAGCTGCAGGATGTAGAGGGGGTGCAGGAAGCAAGCTGGCAGGAATGGGAACTCGGCCAGAATTCAAGAAAGGGGACAGGGAGTCATTCAGGTACTTAGTGCCTTTGGCTCCCGCCGAAGGATGCAAGGGCACCCAAGGCTCCAGATCAGTAAGAGGGAGGGTGTCAAACACAGTGGTCAGGGAAGTTGGGAAGACAGCTCTGGAGGTGGGCCAGCCCCTCTTCGGGGTGGACACTACCTGTAATGATTGCATGGTGGCCCCCAACACTGGCCAGGTCTTAAGCCCTGGAACCTGCGAGTGTGGCTTTATTTGAAACCAGGGTCTTTGCAGTTGTAATTAAGATAAATTAAAAACCTCAAGATGAGATCATTCTGGATTCAGAGTGGGCCCTACACCCAATGACAGGTGTCAAAAGAGAGAAACAGGAAGATTTGAGACACACAGGGTAAGGTCGTATGAAGACGGAGGTGAGGCTGGAGGGACAAGGCTACAAGCCAAGGAACGCCAGGGGCCACCAGGAGCTCCAAGAGACTAAGGAGGATCATCCCCGAGAGCCTTGGGAGGAGAACAGCCCTGAATGCCTTGATTTTGGACTTCT